TGAGATCAGAACAAGCTCGGTGTGTCCAAGGATCAGCCTGAGATCCACTGTGGCTCAAGCAAAATAACAAAGGGAAGATGAAGTCAGAGAGGCCAGCAGGGATCAAACCCAGTAGGATCTTGTGAGCTATGGATTTTATTCTCTGTGTGCCACTGGAGTGTCAGCCAGTCTCTAACTTTCTTAATAATGTTGAGAACTGTCATCAGCTATCTGGGCCTTCAAGGTGTTTGATGCAGACTCATTCTCTCCTGAAGTACTTTGGGAAGTTCTTTGGAGGCACCCCCTATGTGTCATACCTTCCCCAAGCTGGAGATATCTCACCTCTATCTCCCTTGGTGTAGGTTATCCTGACTGCTCCCCTCCTCCAGAGCTTCTTGTATCCCTCCAGACTCTTTCACCTGAGCTCACCTCTCCATGCAGTGCTCCCTCAGTCTCTGTTTCTCTCTCTCTCTCACTCTCTCTCTCTCTCTCTCTCTCGCTCTCTCGCTCTCATTCACCATTCTTATCTGGGCCACGGTAATTGCTCAGCATCCTCCATCAGACACTCTGGGGATGGAGATGGCTCCCCATTCAGCACCTTCGTCTCTCTCCTCCACTAGCACAGAGAGCCAGCCCCAGCCTCTAGACATGGCTCCTGTGCATCTACCAACTGCAAAAGACATTTAGCCATTCCACAGGAGGGCCAAAAGAGGCCCCTTTCCCTAGGCCAATGGTTCTCAACCTCAATGATACTGACATTTAGGGTTTGTATTTTGTTATTGCAGGGGACTATCATATGCATTTGAGGATGTTTAGCAGTCTTGTGGTCTGAATGTTGGTGGCCTCCCAAACTTCACATGTTGGAACCCCCAATGCATAAGAATAAGAGGTGGGGTCTTTGGGAAGTGATTAGGTCATGAGGGCTCTAAACTTATGAATGGGATTTATGCCCTTATAAAACAGGCTTGAGGGAGCGTGCTTGTCCCTTCCACCATATGATGATGCAACAGCAAGGTGCCAACTATGAAGCATAGAGTAGTCCTTACCAAAGGTTTGGCTGGTGTCTACCAAACTTGCCAGCGCCTTCATCTTGGACTTTCCAGCCTCGAGAACTGTGAACAGTAAAGTTATCCATTTCAAGATGCTTTGTTGCAGCAGCCCAGACTAAGACGAGCAGGATTTCTGGCCACTAGCCAATAGATGCCAGCAGCAGCCCCCAAGCTGGAACAACACAAAATGTCTCCAGACATTGCCAAATGTCCCCTGTGAGGCAAAGTCACCTTAGTGGACGAGCAACTTCAGCCCTGGGCTGAAAGTGAGGGAAATCCTGCTTCCCTGGGGGAAGGGGTATGGCACTCAAAGCTTAAGGTAACAGCCTCTTCCTCATCAATCTCTAATTCCACTTTGGGCTTTCCAACCTCTTTCATACCCTCACAAGGTGAAGGCTTAAGGCTTGCAATACCTGTTTTCAGAAACCCTTTTTCCAGGTACAACAGACCCCTCCCATCTCCTTGGGAAACATAAGAGTATTTGGAACCTAGAGTTCTGGCACTTCAGTCAAAAGTGAGACATAAATCTTCCCATTCTCACATCCTATTATGCTATCATTTTTGTGAAAGAAAAACAGGTGCAGACATATACATCACACATGTATTTGCTAGTACAGTCTCTGCCTAGAGCATCTTTGGGAAGACTCAAGAAACTTGAAAGATAATATTTTTTTTCTTCTGAGGAAGGGAACTAGGTAGCTGGACAAGCAAAGATAGAGACTTTTCACTTTTATAACTTTTGATTTCTAAACCATTTCATCTATAAAAGATAAAAGATTTAAAAGATAAAAAGAGCCAAGAATTCTAAAGAAAGAAAGAGAAAGGAAGGAAGGAAGAAGGAAGGAAGGAAGGAAGGAAGGAAGAAAGGAAGGAAGGAACCCCCAGTTTTAGGACCTTATAAGGAGAGGCAGGATTGCATAAGAAAAAAGTACATATGGAGAGACTGTATTTATTATTAGAAGGCAAGAAGGTCCAGCTGCTCTGTGGCCCAAATGTGTCGTGGGGTAAAAACTGAAGCAAATAAAAACAATTCATGTAATTTTTATACAGATATTGCAGGTCCGTGAGACTCTGCCTCTGAAGAATGGATTCAAAATTGATTATTCCTACCTGATGGCTACAAAATCAATGTATTCTCTTCCTTCCTTCCTTTTTTCCTTCCCTCCCTCCCTCCTTCCTTCCTCCTTTTCCTCCCTCTCTGCCTCTCTCTTCCCCTCCCTTTCATTCTTTCTTTCTTTTCTTTCTTCTTCTTGGTTTCTTTCTTTCTTTCTTTTTCTTTCCTTCTCTCTCTCTCTCTTTCTTCAAGTATTCGAGTGCTCACTATGTGCCAAGCACTGTCCCAGGACCTAAAGACACAGCAGTGACTGAAGCAAAACCCCTGGCCTTCATATATTCTAATGCAGGGAGAGGACAGAAAATATAGAATAATTAAGTAAATTACACCGTGTGTTAGAGGGTGAGAAATGCTAAAGAGAAAAAGAAAATAAGAAGAATAAAAAATCAGAAGGTGACTGTTGAACAAACTCTTGCATGGTGCTTAGGGAGGAGACTTTCAGACTTCCTGCACACAGGGCCTCACACTCAGACACTCAGAAAAGACACACACTTGGTTTGATTCTCTGCTGCCACCATCGTGAAATTCCTAAAGATTTTTTTAACAAGAAGCCTCGTATTTTGACTACACACTGGGTCCCACGTATTCTGTAGTGGTCCTGATTTCAGATAACTGGGGGATGAGCCTTTCAGGCAAAAGGAACAGCAATGAGCATACCTGGAGTTTTCAAGAAGCAAGGAGGTCAGGGTGACTGTTGGTGGGGTTGAGGCAGTAAGCGGGGTGATGTGCACACAGCATGAAGCCATCCTCAAGCTGGGCTTCCCTGAGTGAGATGGAAAACAAGCTGTAAAAACAGGAGTGACCTACACATGTTTTAAAAGGACCACTGAATTTTTCCTGAGAATAGGCTTTAGGTGGGGAAGAATGAAATCAATTAAGAGGCTGATGAAATAATCCAAATGAGACCTGGCTTGGCCCCAGGTGTTATTTGAGTGAAGGCAATGAAAGGTGGTCAAATTCTGCATGCATTCTGAAGGCATAATTGACAGGATTTGCCAGACTTTTCTATAGGCTAAAAGAGGAAAAGAAGAGTCAAGGATAGCTCTGTTGTTGACCTGAGCAACTGATAGGATGGAGTTGCTATTTTGAAATGCAGAAGGCTGTGAGAGAAGGAAGTTTTTCAAGGAAGATGAGAAATGTCTGAATATTTTAAGATAAACTATTTCACTTCTAAGAGATGTCCAATGAGTTATTGAGTATCTGTGTCATGAGTTTGTGGGGGGACTTTGTATTGACAATATATATTTAGGGGTCATTAGCCCACAAAGATGATATTAAAATGATATGGGAGTAAATGAATCATCATGCAAGTATGTCGACAGAAAAGAAGTTCAAGGTCTGAGTTTTGAGATATTCCATAGTAGTGGACGAAAGGGAAGACTCCAAAGGTATGCTTTGCATAGAAAAGTTACCACACTGGCCAGGCACGGTCGCTCATGCCTGTAATCCCAGCACTTTGGGATCCCAGCCCAAGGCTGGAGGATCACCTCAGGTCAGGATTTGGAGACCAGCCTGACCAACCTGGAGAAACCCTGTCTCTACTAAAAAAAAAAAAAAAAAAAAAAAAAGTACAAAATTAGCCAGGAGTGGTGGTGCTTGCCTGTAAACCCAGCTACTCAGGAGGCTGAGGCAGGAGAAACTTAAATCCGGAAGGCAGAGGTGGTGGTGAGCTGAGATCGCGCCATTGTACTCCAGCCTGGGCAACAAGAGCAAAACTACGTCAGGAAGGAAGAAAGGGAGGAAGGAAGGGAGGGACGGGGAGAGAGAGAGAGAAAAAGAAAGAAGGAAAGGAAGGAAGGAAGGAGGAAAGAAAGGTTACTATCTTAATGTAGACTAATTGAGAAGAACTTTTTTTTTTTTTTGAGACGGAGTTTCACTCATGTTACCCAGGCTAGAGTGCAATGGCGCGATCTCGGCTCACCGCAACCTCCGCCTCCTGGGTTCAGGCAATTCTCCTGCCTCAGCCTCCTGAGTACCCGGGACTACAGGCACGGGCCACCATGCCTAGCTAATTTTTTGTATTTTTAGTAGAGACGGGGTTTCACCATGTTGACCAGGATGGTCTCGATATCTTGACCTCGTGATCCACTCACCTCGACCTCCCAAAGTGCTGGGATTACAGGCGTGAGCCACTGCGCCCGGCCTGAGAAGAATTTTTTTTGATATATTGAAAAATAAGAAGAGCAATGAAGCCCAAGCCATGAAAATTGTGATCATGATGATGATTATTATTAATTTTTTGAACAGAGAGAAAGGCTGGACTTACAGGGTGACCAACAGTGCTAGTTTATCCAAGACAGGGGATTCCCAGGACACAGGACTGTCAGTGATAAATCAGGTAAGTCATAGGCAAACTGGAATGAATTGGTCAATCCAACTTAGTGTCAGTCCTTCACTCAAATCTAGTCCTCTCAGTTAATTAACTAGTATTTTCTCATCTGTAAAAGTAGGAATGATACAGGGTTGTTTATTAAAAGAAAATAAAATAAGAAAATTGCCCATCAGAATGCCTGACACTAAATGTCCTCAATAAATTATGGCTATTATTATTAGAAGAAAACCACTCTGTGTACCTCAGTACGTACCCCTATGGACACCATTGGATTATGGCAAGCAAAATATTGGCAGGGCACAGTGGCTCACACCTGTAATCCCAGCATAGACTGGGAGGCCAAGGTGGGCGGATCACTGGAGGTCAGGAATTCAAGACCAGCCTGGCCAACATGGTGAAACTCTGTCTCTACTGCAAATACAAAAATTAGCCAGGCATGGTAGCATGCACCTGTAGTTCCAGCTACTCAGGAGCCTGAGGCAGGAGAATTGCTTGAACCCAGGAGTCAGAGGTTGCAGTAAGCCGAGATTACACCACTGCACTCCAGCTTGGGCGACAGAGTGAGACTCTGTTTCAAAAAAAAAAAAAATTAGCGTTCACAATTATGATCCTGAATTATTAAAGAACATTAAACTATGATTGCTATATTTTTGTATAGCACCATTGTCCATTAAGAGGTGTGGGGATCGGGCCGGGCGCGGTGGCTCAAGCCTGTAATCCCAGCACTTTGGGAGGCCGAGGCGGGTGGATCACGAGGTCAAGAGATCGAGACCATCCTGGTCAACATGGTGAAACCCCGTCTCTACTAAAAATACAAAAAATTAGCTGGGCATGGTGGCACGTGCCTGTAATCCCAGCTACTCAGGAGGCTGAGGCAGGAGAATTGCCTGAACACAGGAGACGGAGGTTGCGGTGAGCCGAGATCGTGCCATTGCACTCCAGCCTGGGTAACAAGAGCGAGACCCCGACTCAAAAAAAAAAAAAAAAGAGGTGTGGGTATCATGATACTAGACATAAAATAAGGAGAGGTAGCTCAATACAATATTTGGTTCTACTATAAATAGCATTTATACTGCTGTAATAATATCTACACTAGTTATTGAATTACACAACTTGTAAAATTGAATTATAGACAAATTATGGAGAAATTAACAGTAGTTTCAGAATATAGTGTAAATATTATTAATCTGTGTAGGTCAAAGTACAGCTATAGTTGACAGAGATGGCCAGGTGGAAATGGGATAAAGAGAGACAAAAGCAGTAGGCACATCAAGAGCCAACATGGGAAGTGAAGAAATGCACTCTCTGGTTTGTGAAAGAAGTAGTTGAAGGTTAACTGCGTTGCTTAAAAATGCCATGATTCCAAGCGGAGAAACTGAGAAAGGTAATAGAACCATTTTGGAGGGTGGGAAAATCAGATGACAGAGAGACAGAGAGAGAAATGGGAGAAAGGGATGGAGTGGAATGAAGAGACATCACATCTTCTCCCTCCCTTTCTCCCTCCTTCTCTCTCTCTCTCATCTGAATTTGAACATGCATTAATTCTATTTATGAAATTTTAAAAATAAAAACAGAAAGAATGTAAAAATGGCTGCCAATTCAAAATAATTTAAAGAAAGAACATTTAGATGCAAAAGGCATTTGCCTTTTCAGAAAACGGAGTTATACTCATTCCTTGAGTATGTAAGAATACCAAGATCTTAACTCCACCCAGTTCCCCTTTCACTCTGAAGCTGGACCACTCTTTATACAGACGCTGAAAATGGAAAATCGGATTCCTGTACCTTGATTTCACTTTAGATAAAGAGTAGCTAATCAATCAACCCCTGAGTACACCACCATTTTTTTTTTAATAAAATCAGGCTTCCACCTGGGATAACAGCTCTACAATATTTGTTGCCTAACTTGCAAAGCTGTGCATTACTCTATATACAGCATGTTCCTGTCCAACTTGGATTCTATAAGAAATTCAATCTAATTCACAGATCACATTCGAATTTGTCAGTTGTCCAAATAATATCTATTATAGGTTCAGGATCATACATAATGTTTAGCTGTCATCTCTCTTTAGTTTCCTTCAACCTGAACCAGTTCCTGAGTCTTACCTTATTTTTATAATCTTGACATAGAGCAGGTTACTCACTTTGCAGAAAGTCCATCAATTTGGGTTTGTTTAGTATTTCTTCATAATTACATTTAAGTAATACAATTTTTGGCAGAAATACCCCAAAAGTAATGCTGTGTTCTAATGGCATCCTATCAGGATATATACAATATCCATTTATGCTATGATGTTTTAACTTTTATAAGATAGTATCTGACTCCTCTATTGTAAAATTAACTATTAAATATCTGGTATAACTATGTAGTCTGTGGAAATAACTTTGGAGTTATGTAAACAGTCTGTTCCTTATCAAATGTTCACCCACTAGTTTTAGGATCCATTGATGAGTTTCTTTGAATCAATTATTACTATAATGATTACAAAATGATCCTAACTCTATCATTTCCTCTCTGCTTATTAGTTGGCATCTCACTGCAAGGTAGAGTTTTCCACTCTGCCCCAGTTATTTATTTATTCATGCGTTTATTTATATCAGCATGGAATTGTGGATTTCTATTTTATTCAGTGGATTGTATCTGTTATTATCATTATTTGTTTTGATGCTTAAATTATCCCAGATTTGGTCAGTGGAAACTTCATTAAGTTGGCTTCTGTGTTCTTATGAATAAAAGGAATAACAACATCCCTTATTATTCTTCAAGCAAGTTTTACTTTCTGACACTAAAAATATCCTTCAGGCTCATCTTGTGCTTGTTTGTTCCATATCTGGAATCAGCAATTTATTCAAGGATCCTTGGCTCCTTTTAGTGGAAAATAGCACTGAGAAACCAAGATCCAGGCACTACACATGCCCATTGTTACTGGGATATTATTGCTTCTAGGCCATCACAAGAGACAGAGCTAGAAATATATGAACACACACATACAGCCTAGATATTTTTTTACGTCAGTCTATCAAAGCCATATTCAAAAGCATGAGTTCACACCAATATTTCCAATCCTCAGCTAACACTCCAGGGCTTTTTCCAGCCTTTGCTTTTCCAGGTTTGTAATTCCCTTCTCAGAGAGTGAGAAACCTGGATTCCATTTACTCTCAATATATTTACCTTTTCAGTCAATCCTCTAGTATGTAATTAACCTCTTGGCCTCTCAGCATGTCCCCTTGGCCAACCCCAATTATACTAGGTGAACCATCAGCCCCAGTCCCACCAAACATGCCAACCCAACAGTCCAATCCTCAGCCCCAGCAGTCCTGGCCACCCTGCCTAATTCTGTGGCACTGGAGCCACCAACTATGCCAGCTGAAGTTGCAGCCCCAACTCTGCTGACCATGCTGACTGCACCAACCCAAAAACAAAGTTTTTAAAAACCCAAATAGTCTTGCCATAATTAAAATAGTCTATTACAGAAGAAGAAAAAGACATCAGCGGAACAGAATACAGAATCCAGAAATAGACCTAAATACACATGGCATTTTAGTTCATAATAAAGGTACCATTCCCAACCAGTGGATTTATATGTAACCTAGTCAGTGGGGAAAATAAAATAGTGTGGGGTTAACAGGTTGTTAGGGGAAGAAAAGATGAATTTGTAGCACTATTTACACTGAAATTAATTATTAATTCTAAGTACATATTTATAATTAATATTATAATTGATATTATAATTATACACTTTATATCATAATTATACCAATTATAATTAATAATTATAATTATGTTAATTACAATTCTATTTTTTGCATAAAATAAATCCATTTTCTGAATAAAGCGTAAATCAATTTATTTACGATCCTGGAATGAAAAAGTCCTTTCCAAGAAGAATACCAAGGCAGAAAATAGATGAATCACACGAAGTTTCTCTTTGACCAAAAATAAATCAATAAAGCCTTAAAATCATTGACAAATTGGAGAAAGATGTTTTCAGTACAGGAAAGCAAACAACTAATATCCTTAATTTACACAGAGTTTTATACAGGTAAGCAAAGTAACAAATGATAACAAATGCAAAATGTCAATAAACTTCTGTTCCTTATCAATTACACAGTCTGGTCGGGTGAGGTGGCTCACGCCTGTAATCCCAGCACTCTGGGAGGCCGAGACGGGCAGATCACTTGAGACCAACCTGGCCAACATAGTGAAACCCTGTCTCTACTAAAAACACAAAAATTACCCAGGCGTGGTGGCTAACCCCTGTAGTCCCAGCTATTCAGGAGGCTGAGGCAGGTGACCTGCCTAAGCCCAGGAGGCAGAGGTTGCAGTCAACTAAGATCGCACCACTGCATTCCAGCCTGGGAGATGGAGTGAGACTGTCTCAACAACAAAAAAATAAAAATGAAAAAAATAAATTACACCAAGGTATTCCATTATAGCAGCACAAAACAAGCTAAAAGAGTCACAATCTGTGATCGCCTTATTGTTTTCATTGACAGGTCCCTTATTAAAATATGTTGTATTAGTAGCTGGCACCTAACAGGCACTTAACAAATGTTTATTAATGTTAAATGAGAGGATTCTGGAGGAGTAGTTTGAAGCTAGACTATTAAGGATCTTGAAATGCCATATTTGAGAGTTTGCACTTCATTCTAAAGGCATTGGTTACGGTCATCAAAGAAGATATCTGCTCTAGAAAAATAACTGTAATGGTGGTTGGTGATGAATTTTAAAGGGAGAGCCAGTTAAAAGGTTACTGTGGCCAGGCATGGTGGCCTATGTCTGTTATCCCAGCACTTTGGGAGGCTGAGGCAGGCAGATTGCTTAACCCCAGGAGTTAGAGACCAGCCTGCCCAACATGGTAAGACCCAATCTCTACAAAAATTAAAATTACAAAAATTAGCCAAATGTGGTGGCACCTACCGATAGTCCCAGCTACTCGGGAAGCTGACCCAGGAGGATTGCTTCAGCCTGGGAAGTCAAAGCTTCAGTGAGCCATGATCCCATCCCTCCACTCCAACCTAGGCAACAGAGCCAGACCTTGTCTCAAAAAAAAAAAAAAAAAAAAGTTCTGGTAAATGCTCAGGTCACAGGAGACTTAAGCCAGAACTAGGGCAAAGGGACTAGAAGAGAAACTCTTTTGAGGTGCCATCAACACAAATTGGTGGTAATAACTACAACCTCTATTTATTAAGTGCCTATAGTAGGCCCAAACTCCATACTATCTTCACAACAGCCAACCAATATTGATGTTAGTATACCAATTTTGCAAATAAAAAGGCAAAACAAGTTGCAGAGAACTTAAATAATTTCCCCCAAAGTCCACAACTAAATAAATGGCTCTTGTGGATTCTGCTGCAGGGCTGTCGCATACCCAAGTCCAAGCAATGAAGGAAAGGGAGTGATGTTAAGTTTCCAGCTAATGTAATTACTTAGATTATTTCCTTTGCTGAAATATGTAAAGATTTTATTGGAATGGTAATGAATGTGGCTTTGGGCATGCTATGTTTGAGAATCCTATAATACACTAGGTATTGCTGCATGAAACAGAAACTGACTCTGGCTTTCTTGCTGAATAGTATAATTCTTCGAAGGCTATCAGGGCTCACATAGTCACAGTTAGGCTGGAGATACCAGCTTCATAAACAGGCCAAGGATAGGAAGAGTTTACAAGGCAAATGGTGACCTTTGAGAGAGAAGCGTGAGATGACATTTGGACACAGAAGCCAGATTGTAAATGGTGAAGGAATTAACGGTGAGTGAAGTTCAGAGTAATTTCTAAGCCAGTGTTCCACATCCATAATTTATATTGTTGTAATCGTACTTGCAAAATATATTAACCTGAGACAAAAGGGCAGGACTTGTGTGTAGCACTTTGTCCTCACTTCACTTGAACCTTACAATAACTTTGTGAGAAAGGGCTTATTCCCATTTAGAAAGATGGACGAAAATGATATCCAATATCCAATGTTGGAGAAGACTGTAAGACTCTTCTTGGAGTGCATCTTGTTGATAAATATCAAAAGACTTTAAAAGGTATGTATGCTCTGACCTAGAAATTCCTCTGCAAAAGAATTCAGTGAAAAAAAATTATAAGCCTGTACACACATTTATCTACAAGGTTGTACACTGCAATAAGAAAGAACTGAAAGCAAGCTAACTACATGAGAGGACTGGTATGTCCATGCTATGAAAAGACATGCAAATCATTGCCAAATAACGTTGCAGCACGATCCATTCAAGAAATGAAAAGCATCCTACGTAAAAAGAATACAGAGTGGATGACAGGAGCTTTCTAGTCCACAACATATTTAGGTTCCCGGTTGCAAATCAGTAAAGTGACATTCTGGTTTATGTCTCAAAAAAAGAAAAGAAAAAAATGAAAACCAAAAATATGGTTTACATTTTATGAAGTAAACAGAGCAGACCACAAAACAGAATACACAGTATGATTCCATTGTGTGTGTAATTTTTTTGTGGGTTTTTCTGTACTTCCGAAAATTCTACTGTAAAGAAATACTGCTTTTGTAATGAGATTTTTAAAAGAAAGCCCTGAGTGGTTAAATACTCGTCTGTGGTCAGAGATAACTGGCAAAGGAGAGGCCAGAATTATTTTTACTATTTTTTGAGATTGTTGTCTCCTGTGTAAAATGAGGGTGCAAGGTGCATCCCCTCTCCTGATTTTTGAATCATCCCTCCACCACCTCGGACTGCCTTTTCTCACGTAGAATAGCCAGCCAGTGCGGCCGGGCGCGGTGGCTCACGCCTGTAATCCCAGCACTTTGTGAGGCCGAAGGCAGGTGGATCACGAGGTCAAGAGATCGAGACCATCCTGGTCAACATGGTGAAACCCCGTCTCTACTAAAAATACAAAAAATTAGCTGGGCATGGTGGCGCGTGCTTGTAATCCCAGCTAATCAGGAGGCTGAGGCAGGAGAATTGCCTGAACCCAGGAGGCGGAGGTTGCGGTGAGCCGAGATCGCGCCATTGCACTCCAGCCTGGGTAACAAGAGTGAAACTCCGTCTCAAAAAAAAAAAAAAAAAAAAGAATAGCCAGCAAGTGGAGAAACTTACCTCAATAATGCAAAAATGTCTCCCTACTTACTTCCTTTCAATGTTCAAGCAAAACAAAGCCCTCTCCACGTTCAACATGACAGAAACCCTAAATGATAAGGTCTTCACGTTTTTAAGCAGAAAGTATGAGAATGGTTGGAAATTGCTGAAACAGTAAAAGATTTTATGAGCTCTCAAAGTACTTCTAGACGTGTAGCTATGACAACCCAATAAAAAGGAACACACACACAACCTGGATCCTTCAAAAATGTAGATTTCTGCCTTTCCACACCTTAACTTGGTTCGGGTCGGTTCCCAAGCACTTTCTCTTGGAAGTGAGAAATCCTCCAAAGACACTACGGGAGGCCCAGGTGTGGCAACCTTCGGTGGGATGAGGGATGACCAGAGGAAAGGTGGCGAGGGACGCACTTAAGACGCGCGGAAACTGGAAACGTGTCTTCTGCAGTCAGCTTCTTCGGATTTTCCAGCACTTAGAAGCAAGTTCTACACCTCCAGCGCCCCGGTTTCTGCAGGTCTCACCCAAGACCCCCACCCCCACACCCGCCCTTACGCCACCCGGCCTCGAGCCCCGCCCCGGACGCTGAACCCGTGGGTGTAACTGGAGCACGTGTTCACATCAAAAGTCTGGGTCGCGAAGGCAGACACCCCAGGTCCCGCAGAAAAACCTCCACGAAATATTGGGAGACTCCCTTTAAAAAAACCAAATCTCTAGGACGGTGCGAGTCGGCGCGCCGGGGGCGTGAGTGCGGTTCACCAAGCGGGCAGAGCTCGGTGCCGGCTCTCGGCAAAACTAACAATATTTGTTAGGCCCTAAACTCACAGGCCCTAACAGCGCTAAATCCATTCACTTCGGGAGTATTGCAACCTGGGACAACGAGCGCCTCACACGCCCAGCTACGCGCCTCAGGGGCACACCGATTGGGGCGCAACTACTTATGCGCACGCGCCCTGCATGCCGGTGCTTTACCCTTAGCGCAGAGCGTCTAAAACCAAGCTACGGTGGCTCTGCTGGGAATAAATTATTAAATTTTACTGTTCTGCAAACCCAATCCGGGAGGTATGACCTGGCTGGCACAATTTAGGAAGACGGCCAAGAAGGCACTTGGGGGAGTAGATATACGTATTTGGGAATGGAAGGGGTGAAGTCTGGCCCATGAGTAGGAAGAAAATTCAGCCTCCACCTCCCAACCGGTGGCCCCGACTCAGCAACTTAGCGCGCCCCAGCACTGGGAGCACCGCCTTGGGGGCGTGGTGACGCACTGGCCTTCTGGGGCGGGGCCTGTTTCTGGCGCGCCCTTGCCCCGCCTAGCCCCGCTCCAGGCGAGGGCGCCGCACCCACACTGCACTGCACAGTTTTGTTCTGCACCAGCCGTTCGTAGGTGATCCAGGTGAGTACTAGCACCTGCGGGCAGCAGTGGTTAGCGGGCCACCGGGGGCATTTCAGCCTCTGTGCAGGTTACTCCCATATTTCAGCCTCTCGGAGGTGAATAGAGACTCGCTGTCTCTAACCTCCCTCAACCCTTTTCAGTAGATTAGAGCTCTGAATTTCCATCCCCTCTGCTCTGAGCTCTTACCCTGCATCTTCTCCCAGGTGGAGTGGGTCGTGAGCGTCTAAGAGAGGCCCGACCTCTTTATCTGTAACTCAGAAATTCTCAAGGTCAACACTTCCTCAATTCCTTTCTTTCCCTCTCCTGCTCTCCCCGGGCTGTGCAGTCTGGGGCACCCTTTTTCTGCCTTCCCGAGACCACCTGCCCTTGCCCTCTGCTGCTCCGGCGCAGAGGATGAGCGAGCGAGACCCTGCAGTAGGAGTGGTTGTGCAGGCCTGAGCAGTAACACTGGTTTCCGAAGTGGCCTGTGAGCGCTGCGCCCTCTGCGGTTGTGAATGTGTTGCTAGGGACTGTCGGGAGAGCCTCGGAGGAAATCGTGTTTGTTTTCCTTTGCCTCTTAGAAACGTTTCTCCATTTGTATTGGAAAGGGGGTCATTTCCTACCACTGCCTTAGAGCGGCAGACACCTCTGGGAGGATGGGGGACTCTTAAGGTTCTTCCTTCGATTTCAGAAAATGCACCTCCTTATCTGGGGTACCAGCACGGAGCCCCAGGGCTACAGTAGTGGGGCAGCTGCAGGGCGGTGGAAGGCGCTGGAGACTACTTAGTGAGTCATTCCCCGAAGTTGTGGCTTCTGCTGATACTTTCCTTGAGAGTCACTAGTTTACGAGCTACATTGTAGCGTCGGGGACGAGTGTGGGAAAGGAGGAAAAGCAGAGATGAGGATGGGTAGAAACAGAGGCAGGGGTTAGAACTTTAATTCCTTCACTGGGGACAGGAGGTGCCCTGGAGAGGAAGGCGCTTCCAGCTCTGCAGATGTGTGCTGTGGGCCTAGGTGTGGTCCTGCGGAATTGCTGCAGATTTTAGCTTCCTCGTGGGAGGGAGCTGCAGCCAGGGCTTCTCTTGGGAAATCTGTAGATCACCTGGAGCCTGCAGTTCTGGGAGGCACCCAAGGTTATTGGTCAGAGTTACAGGCTATATTTTATTTTAGTGGATTCTGAGAGCACATTGAGTCAGATCAAGAATGTTTATTCTCATAGATGAATTTAAGGAGTTAAAACTAATATATAAAATCAAAACAAATACTTTCATCCCTGGGAAGACTTTCCGTTAAGCTTCCCTCCTGACACAATGTTACGGAAATAGAAAACTTTGTCAAGTGATTTTTTTTTAACCAATGTTACTATATATAAATCGGCAGAGAGACTGTCACTAACCATAGAAACTGCGCTACAGGGGCCTCCTTAGATTAAGAAACAAAACTGAAGAAGGGCAGCCGTCCCCTTTATTTAGACTTCCTCCTGTTGTCTTAGGGTTCTGAAAAGACACAATCCTGGAAAAGAACCTCCTCGCCTGGAGGTTAGCACCGAGAAGGAACATACAGGAAAGAAGGGCTTTATCCACTATTCGGAGACATGCTGGAAAGCCCCAAGAGCAGTCTGGAATGAGGTGGATGTCAAATCAGTCTGTCAAAAGCAATTTAGTGCCTACTGCACATCTATCTGTATTTCAACATACTGTGCCCTATGTTCATGCTTAAATCTTCTGAATCTATATTTGGAACACCATTGCCGACCACAATTGACCATGAACCATTTAGCACTTTAAAGCAATAGTTGTTTAGAAGAATATACTGCTACTTTTTTTTTTGCATCCCAATTTATTAATGCTACTATGAGCATACCATCTTGCTGAACAAAAAGAATTTAGCAGTTAGCAGCAGGTAAATTATTGCTATGTATAATAAAATTCCTGACTTAGTTTCCTTCACTCTCTCTTACAGTACCTACCTACCTATCTACCTACCTACCAACCTACCTATCTACCTACCTGCCTACCTGTCTTTGAGGAGAAACGCTGTAATGAGGCAACAGGAAAACTGTACTTTATTTCACATGCATTCACAAATGCCTTTAAGGATTTTATCCTTTAGAATCATTGATCTTGCTGTTACCCTCTGAGTTCTTTCTAGAGTTAATCTGTTCATTAACTGTAACTTGAGTTCTAAGATTTAGTTGCCTTATTCCACTCTTTAAAAATAAATAAGTTACATTTTATTTAAAAAAAAATAAGTGATATTTTATTTTTAAAATAAATAAGCAATGTGAGCAGTTGTACCACAGCATCATTCTAAGTGTAGACAGGCATGAAACGGTCAAACCTAGGTGGTTCCTTCCTTTGGAGTGGTTGGTACCCTAAAGGATTCAGCAGCTGCTATGAATTAACTACAATCTGCCTGTATTTCTTGTAATAGAAAATTACCAAGTGGTGTCAATGTGACTCATTCGAGATTTTTTTTTTCCCCCTCTGGAAGTCATAGCTTAGTTTCTCAATGACTCTTGGTTCCTGTGTAATGTCAGTTAAGGGACAGCTATATGGAAATCATGATATTCAAATGGAGCGCCAGTTTGTGTTACTTTGCTCCTTGCAAACCTATATCCTGAAAGATTGGAGGAAGTTTTTTCCTTCCCATAGTCATTCTGCAGTGCTGACATCATTAAAAAGAAAATGTTTCTCCTTTCCCAAAGGTTTTTTTTTTTTCTTCCTCCAATTAGAAACATCTTAGACCTTAATCGGTGGCAAAATTGAAGTTAAGTATTTGCTTTCTCTTCTTGTTAATACATTTTGTACTCAGTAGAGGGTCTGGAGAGGTAGAAATGTTTTAGAAGATGTCAGGTGTGGTCAAACTTGCTTTTCAACCTCATTGAGAGGCAACATAGCAAAGGGCTGAGAGCACAAACTGGAGCCAGACTCCCTGGGGATGTGAGGATCCGGGCTCTGCTCTGTGATCACTGTGTGACCTTGGGCAGATAACCTGCCCTCTGAGGTTGCTGCCTTCAGACCATGGGAAACATCCAGCAGTGGGCTGTCCCTGGGATCACATCTCTTGGGAAGCTTAGCTCCGAAGGGTCTAGCAAAGCCCAGGGCTTCTAGGTTAGGTGTCAGGGGACCTTCTCCCATAGAACCTTCTGTGTCAAGAATCTGGGAAAGTTTGTCCTCACACCTGCAGGGGAACCTGGGATTTCTTCTGTCTTGTTATAAATCTAGTATTCTTAGATTCCTGAAGAACATTATTGCCAGTTTTTTCTCAAAGGAGATTTCAGTTCCATTCAGGCATGTGTGTTTAGTGCCTTATTACACAGAAGGCACACTCCAGAGAAGAAAGCAGGTAATTTGCTTATTTGGCCTTAACAGAGTTTGTATGAGTACAAGCTTGTGCTCTATAACCAAGAACCATTCACTGGAACTTGAGCTCCTGCTGATCTTCCCTCCCCCACTCCCAGCCAGTGCAGCCATGTATTAAGCAATTGTTTTCAGTACTAACAATTTACCCAAGTGTTGGAATAAAAAGGACATCTGAAACTTGAAAATTTTATATGGTCAAACTATGGCTATTTAACTATACAGCTGAATATATTTGGATTATAACACATTTATCTCTGTCTCTTTTTTTTTTTTTTTTTTTTTTTTGAGACAAAGTCTTGCTCTCAGCTCACTACAACCTCTGCATCCCAGGTTCAAGCAATTCTCCTGCCTCAGCCTCCCAAGTAGCTGGGACTACAGGCGTGTGCCACCAGGCCCAGCTAATTTTTGTATTTTTAGTAGAGACGGGGTTTCACCATGTTGGCCAGGGTGGTCTTGATCTCTTGACCTTGTGATCTACCCACCTTGGCCTCCCAAAGTGCTGGGATTACAGGTGTGAGCCACCGCGCCCAGCCAACACATTTACCTCTTAAAGGGACGGATCTTCCATTCCTCCTAACGTATAGTTAGCTTCCACTTTTCAAATATTCCACCAGCAACATTGATGCATGTTGAAGACTATGGACTATGAGGTACTGGGAAAGACCCACTCTGTGACCTGCTTGCTGCAGTTTGCCTCACTTGAACCAGTAATCAAGTGCTGGATCAGTAATATGATTTCTATTCAACTTTTTGTTTTTAGCCCTTAGGAAACAATCTACTGAATATGCAGGGCAATTGTGGGGGGATGGTTACTTTTCATCACCTAGGTTATTATTCCTTCTTTTAAATGTAATTGAAATCTGGCAGTCATGTGAAAGTTTGACACTCAAACAGATTTTAGCATCTGTTTAATGCAGAAGTGGACTGGAACTAGCATTTTGAAAATGTAGTCTGAACCCAAAGAAACCCCATGACTTTCCTTTTCTCTCCTATCATAGAAACAGATAATTACATTTTTAAAGATTTTGTGTGTGGGTGTGTGTTGTCATTCTGAGGTGGAATTTCACCATGTTGCCCAGGCTGGTGACAAACTCCTGGGCTGAAGTAGTCCTCCCACCTCAACCCCCAAGTAGCTGGGATTACAGGCATGCACTATTGTGCCCAGCTTAAGTTTTGTTTCTAGTAGACATATAATATTGGACATGTTTGTGAGGTACAGTGTGATGTTTTAGTACATATACACATTGTGCAGTGATCAAGAGGATTGCTTTTTATGGGCCGGGCATGGTGGCTCATGCCTGTAATCTCAGCACTCCGGGAGGCCAATGTGGGTGGATCACCTGAATCAGGAGTTCAAGACCAGTCTGGTCAACATGGCGAAAACCCATCTCTTTTGAAATAGCCAGGCATGGTAGCACACACCTGTAGTCCCAACTACTCGGGAGGCTGAGGCCTAAGAATCACTTGCACCTGGGAGGCAGAGGTTGCAGTGAGCTGAGATGGCAACACTGCACTCCAGCCTAGGTGACAGAGTGAGACTCCATCTCAAAAAATAAAAAGAATTGTTTTTATGCTCCTTCCCTCTAGGCTCTTTAATTTCTCCATTGAGCATTGTATGAGCTCCATTGAGCATTATATGGAGGGTCAGCTCCTCTGGCTGGAGATAATTTTGAGGCCTGTTCCTTGGTGGAAACATCTGGATGCAGAAGTGAGACTGGACAACTATCCAGGGGAGCTTTAAGTGAGCCATGTGGACCCCTGGCACCACCTCAGGGTGTTCTGAGCTACCATCTGGTGTTTGGGACTCAGGGAAGTCCATTTGGTATGATCAGACAAGCTGTTTATGTTACCATTCTTTTATGTTACTCTCATTAAAATGTTGATTTTTGCCACATAAGGAAGATTGGAATAGCACAGGCAGTCAAATAAGGATTTTAATGAAACATTGGAGAATGGCTTCAAGTTAATCTGTGAATGCTCTGTCATTGTCCCATCCCTGGATACATTAAAAAAAAAAAAAGTTGAAACATTTCAGTACAATTTGAGGAGAGCAAATCACACACAGAAATAGGGACTACCATTATCCAAGCTGGATTTTATGTATGTGGGAACAAGGAGGAGAGCTAAAAGACAATCTTCTCTCCCCAATGTCATTGTCACTTAGTAAAATAAAAGGTAGTGTCACTTCACGGCTCAGAAGTGGTAAATTATTTGAGGTAAGTACCCAAATCCATAAAGCGTGCCCTTTGCTTTGTTTGTGAAATGCTGATTGTGCTCTGAGGGATTTCTGATGGACAGCGAAGAGGGACTTGGAAAGTAGTGAAGGAGAACTTTACCCCAAGAGTGTTCTGTTGAATGTAGTTCAGAAAGCTTTCTGGGTAAGCCTTGTAACTGAAGGAACCCTGCCTCAGTGAGATAAGGCAAATAGTAGCAGAAGCAAGAATTAGAGGAAAGGTTGAGCAAAGTTTTGGCATTAGAATAGCTATGTTCCCAGGAAACTCTGTCAGTGAAATTTCTAGAGTTAAGTACCTTAGTCAGATGCCATAATGAAACCCTGTGTTGCTAACTCAAACACTGCAATGGAGCATATATTTTAGGAGTTAGACCAACATTGCTTCATCTTAAGCCCAAGTCTGATCACTCCTAAACTGAAACTTTGTAAGAGTGTGTTGTAGCTTACTTAAAACCCAGTGGGTGTCGGCTGACTCTGGCTACACTGAAGTTTTTGCCCTGAGTGTTACTCTATCACCCACAGACCTTGGGGCCCTGCTGCTTACCAGGACATATTACTTTCCTAATCTACACCTGAAAACCCACCATGGCCTGGGGCTTTTTTGCTGCCCCCAGCAACCTATACCTTGCTTCCTTCCCCTAACCTGAAAATGTCTTCCAAAACAATCATGTTTGGCAAGTAATACACTAATACATTTAAAACTTACAAATAGAAGTGTTGCTGTGTTTTTAAAAAACATCATAGGGCCAGGAGCAGTGGCTCATGCCTATTATCTCAGCACTTTGGGAGGCTGAGGCAGGCAGATTGCTTGAGCTCAAGAGTTCAAGACCAGCCTGGCCAACATAGTGAAACCCCGTCTGTACTAAAAATACAAAAAATTAGTCAGGCTTGGTGGCGCATGCCTGTAATCCCAGCTATTTTTGAGGCAGGAGGATTGCTTGAGCCCAGAGGTCAAGGAGGCTGCAATGAGCCCTGATTGGGCCACTTCCACTCCAGCCTGGATGACAGAGGGGGGACCCTGTCTCAAAACAAAACAAAATCCCCACCAGGTGCAGTGGTTTATGCCTATTAATCCCAGCACTTTGGGAGGCCAAGGCAGGTGGATCACTTGAGTTCAGGAGTTCAAGACCAGCCTGGCCAACATGGCAAAACCCTATCTCTACTAAAATACAAAAATTAGCTGGGTGTGGTGGTGCATGCCTGTAATCCCAGTTAATCAGGAGGCTGAGGCAGGAGAATCTCTTGAATCCGGGACATGGAGGTTGCAGTGAGCCAAGATCGTGCCATCCCACTCCCGCCTGGGTGATAGAGAGAGACTCTATCACAAAACAAAAAACCATTATAGAAATAATTAGGTTTCTAAAGTATTCTTAAAAGGAGCATCCATGGAAACCAGCCACTAATATCATATTTAAAGGTGAGAGATTAAATGCTTCCCCCTAAGATGAGACATTCTTGCCTGCACTTGCCACTTGCATTTAACATTCCATTGCCCCTAAACAGGGCAATTAATCAAGAAAAATAAATAAATGATATACACATTGGAAAGGAGAAAGTAAAACTGCCTCTGTTTGTATGATCCTATATGTAAGGTATTCCAAAGATCGTGGATCTGTCCTTCCCTTAGACTCTTGTGTCC